ATAATATATAATATTATAATATTATAATATATGTATTAATAATAATACAGTGGACCCCCGGTTCATGATATTAATCCGTTCCTGAGAGCTCATCGTAAACCAAAATGATCGGAAAGCGAATCAATTTTCCCCATACGAAATAATGGAAATAAAATTAATCCGTGCAAGACACCCAAAAGTATGAAAAAAAAAAAACTTTTACCACATGATATATTAAGTTTAATGCAATATAATAATTACAATAACAATAGAATAATCACAATAGAATAATTGACACTTACCTTTAATGAAGATCTGGTGATGATTGATGGGATGGGAGGAGGGGAGTGTGTCGAAGTTTTTAATGTTTAGAAGGGGAATCCCCCTCCATTAGGACTTGAGGTAGCAAGTCCTTTTCCGGGGTTACTTCCCTTCTTCTTTTAATGCCACTAGGACCAGCTTGAGAGTCACTGGACTTTTGTCGCACAACATATCTGTCCATAGAGGCCTGTACCTCTCGTTCCTTTATGACTTTCCTAAAGTGGTTCACAACATTGTCAATGTACAGGTTGCCAACATGGCTTGCAGTAGCTGTGTCAGGGTGATTTTCATCAAAAAAGGTTTGCACTTCAAGCCACTTTGCACACATTTCCTTAATTTCAATAGTCATTAGCACCCTTGGTCTTGATGGGTTGGCATTAGAAGCTTTCTTGGGGCCCATGTGACTTATTTTGCAGAAACAAGCACCAAAAACAGTGATAATATGGATAATATGGAATGTAGTGAATGTATCCTTAGATGCGCGCACACTGGATGGCTTGTAAACACTGGACACGTCTTGTACGAATCATATCGCGTTACGGGTTTTGTAACGGGAACCGAGGCAAATTTTTTGCGATATAATGCTTCGGATACCGATGGCTTCGCGAACTGGGGGTCCACTGTATTGTATTATATTATGTCTTGTTAGGCTTTAATATTATTATTTTCATGTAGTGGGAAACCACTAGTTTAAGTGCTGGTTAGCAGTTCAGGTGCTGACGTCTCCCTAAGTCACGTGATCAACCTGACGTCAGCTTACCACTCACTGGTACAGTCAGTAGGTTCACCGCACTTGCTCTGAGAAGGTTCTCCACACTCTGACTAGCACTCTCACTTTCAGTCTGGGCTTGCATAGCCATGGGAGCATACTTCACTCAGTTACTCATTGATCTCTCATAAGAGACATGTCAAGTTCTCTCTGGTGGTCCTTTTCCTTTCATAGTTGGCTTCCCTTTCTTAAGTTGGTCTCTTTCGAGTTATTTATACTCTGGTGAATTAATTGTTCAGTTGACTGAATAAGCCGTGTAGGCCACTGTATATTAATTTGTGGTCTAAGCTATTCTAAGTCATGCTGGATGGAAAAGTAGACTAAGTCTGTCACTTACGAGTTCCTGTATACTCTGAATTGATAGTTCAGTTAAGTCTTAGTAACCATTGTAAGTTACTTTGTGGATAAGTCTTAATAACCATTATAGGTGGATATAATTGAAGTTAGTACAAAGTTCAATCTTATGAGGTTGATTTCTTCATATCAATATACTGGTATGTACCAAGTGAAGTGCAAGAGTTAAACTCCTTATAGTATGTCAATCCTAACATTATACAATCATATATTAAGCTAAAACTCTACTAGTAAAGATTCTAAGTTTTAGTTACTTGTTTTGTAATCCTGAGTTATTATTAAAAGTTACTGTTACAAAACCGTAAACAAACCATCTGCTTAACAAGAATGTACTACATTAACACTCTACCATACCATTGGAGAAGGTTAAGAAGACAAGTTTTGTAACAAAGGACCAGTTATAGAAGGAGAAGAGGGAATATAAAAGTGTAAATTCAAGGATTATGTGGATTAAAATAAGGGTAGGATGTAAAAAGTGGGTCATAATAAGCGTGTATGCACCTGGAGAAGATACAAGTGTAGAAGAGAGTGAGAGAAATTTTGGGAGATGTTAAGTGAATGTATAGGAACCTTTGAACCAAGTGAGAGAGTAATTTTGGTAGGGGATCTAAATGCTATAGTAGGAGAAACATTTAGACAGGATGTGGTAGGTAAGTTTGGGGTGCCAGGTGTAAATGATAATGGGAACCCTTTGATTGAACTTTGTATAGAAAGGGGTTTAGTTATAGGTAATACGTAATATGCATTAAAAACACAATAAAAGGTAAGATACACACAGAGTACACTTATTAATATTAATGTGTGAGAGGTGAGTGGCAGGGCATTTATTGAATAAAATCAGAATGGCACACCATCATCCTCTAACTTGGCACTAAAAGCAAGAGGCTTACGACTTCTCTTTTTATTACAGCTAACCTTAGACGCCATCGTCAGTGAGAGCCAACTAGTTAACGAAAGAGTAAACGAGAGAGAGAATGAGATACAGAGTTGAGACAATGTAAGAACACAAACTGAACAGGTAGTGGACGATCACTTGGTCAGGCGAAATAAATACGTATTAATGTGTGTCTACTTTTAGTTCATTCACGTCCATTTGTAAGAGTTTGTCAAACATTTACCTCAACATTTTTTTATTTTAATAATAATTACCTCACAATACAAATACTCTTGTGGAAGAAGACACTTATGTACAGTTCAGGACATTTATTAAAGGAAACATTTTGCCACAAGTGGCTTCTTCAGTCCTAATACACTGTGCTCTTGGGAGATTCTGAAGAGAAGTTGCAGAGGTTGGTAGATGAATTTGGTAGGGTATGCAAAAGAAGAAAATTAAAAGTGAATATAGGAAAGAGTAAGGTGATGAGGATAACAAAAAGATCAGGTGGCAAAAGATTAGGTATCAGATTGGAGGGGGAGAGTATGGAGGACGTGAATGTATTCAGATATTTAGGAGTGGATGTGTCAGCAGATGGTTCTATGAAGGATGAGGTGAATCACAGAATTGATGAGAGGAAAAGGGGTGAGTGGTGCACTTTGGAGTCTGGAGACAAAGAACTTTGTCCGTGGAAGCAAAGAAGGGAATGTATGAGAGTATAGTTGTACCAACACTCTTGTATGGGTGTGAAGCATATTTGATGAATATTGCAATGAGAAGGAGGCTGGAGGCAGTGGAGATGTCATGTCTGAAGGCATGTGTGGTGTGAATATTAATGCAGAGAATTCGTAGTTTGGAAATTAGGAAAAGTTGTGGGATTACCAAAACTATTATCCAGAGTGCTGAGGAGGGGTTGTTGAGGTGGTTCGGACATGCAGAGAAAATGGAATAAAACAGAATGACTTCAAGAGTGTATAAATCTGTAGTGGAGGGAAGGTGGGGTAGGGGTCGGCCTAGGAATGGGTGGAGGGAGGGGGTAAACGAAGTTTTGTGTGCGAGGGGCTTGGGCATCCAGCAAGCATGCGTGAGCGTATTTGATAGGAGTGAATGGAGACAAATGATTTTTAATACTTGACATTTTGTTGGAGTGTGAGCAAAGTAACATTTATGAAGGGATTCAGGGAAACAGGCAGGCCGGATCCAAGTCCTTGAGACGGGAAGTACAGTGTCTGCACTCTGAAGGAGGGGTGTTAATGCTGCAGTTTTATAACTGTAGTGTAAAGCACCCCTCTGGCAAGACAGTGATGGAGTGAATGATGGTGAAAGTTTTTCTTTTTCGGGCCACCCTGCCTTGGTGGGAATCGGCCAGTGTGATAATAAAATAAAATAATAAAATAAATATAATTTTTACAATCTCTCTTGTCTCCCTTCCCTTTATATAAAGGAACTATACATGCTCTCTGCCAGTCCCTAGGTACCTTCCTCTCTTTCATACATTTATTAAACAAAAATACCAACCACTCCAACACTATATCATCCCCTTCTTTTAACATTTGTCATGATCCCATCAGTTCCAGCTGCTTTACCCCCTCTCATTATATGTAATGCCTCATGCACCTCCCCTACACTCATATCCTGCTCTTTTTCACTCTTAAAAGATGTTACACCTCCCTGGCCAGTGTATGAAATTACTGCCTCCCATTTTCATTTACCCCTGGCACCCTAAATTTACTTACAACTCCCTCCACAACATTTTTACCCACTTTAGCATTAAAATCACCAACCACAAGTACTCTCACACTTGGTTCAAAACTCTCCATGCACTCACTGAACATTTCCCAAAATCTCTCTCTCTCTCTCTTCTCCAGGTACATAAATGCTTACTATAACCCACTTATCACATCCAACCCTTATTTTACTTCACATAATCCTTGAATTAATGCATTTATATTCCCTCTTTTTCTGCTGTAACTTATCCTTTAACATTATTGCTACTCCTTCTTTAGCTCTAACTGTATTTGAAACTCCTGACCTAATCGCATTTATTTCTCCCCACTGAAACTCTCCCACCCCCTTCAGCTTTGTTTCACTTAAAGCCAGGACATCCAACTTCTCATTCATAATATCCACAATCATCTCTTTCTTAGCATTCGCACAACATCCACGCACGTTCAAGCATCCCACTTTGATGGTTTTCTTGTTTTTCTTTTTAGTAGGCTATACGGGAAAAGGGGTTACTAGCCCATTGTTCCCAGCGTTTTAGTTGACTTTTACAACACACATGGCTTACGGAGGACAGATTCTTATTCCACTTCCCCGTGAATATAAAAGGAAAAGCAATAAAAACAAGAACTATTATGATAAAATCTAAGAAAACTCAGATGAGTGTGTATAAATAAACGTGTACATGTATGTGTAGTGTGACCTAAGTGTAAGTAGAAGTAACAAGACGTACCTGAAATCTTGCATGTTTATGAGACAGAAAAAAGACACCAGCAATCCTACCATCATGTAAAAGAATTACATACAGGCTTTCATTCTACACTCACTTGGCAGGATGAAAAAAAAAAAAAAACGTAGATCTACGTTTGCTCACGTAGTGCTCCAAACGTAGATCTATGTTTTTTTACATTCTTTCTTATGGAGAAGATCAAGGGCGGAGCGCTACGCACGCAAACGTAGATCTACGTTTGGACAGTTAGAGGGTTAAAAACAGTTACCACGAACTTAGCTCTGCTCATATACATACAAGCAGTGAAAAGGAAGATTATAACAAAAGAAGAGCTCTTTACAATAAAAGGTCATTTTTTTTTTTTGCTGTGTGTGTTTTTGTCCAACACTTCTAAGCTAATGGTCATACTCCCTATATACAAACAGGTCATCAGAAACAGGCAATAAAAAACTTCACTCACTCTGGCAGCTGTGTTACACCAGGCAGAACAGCCAATAATTCTCCACTGGAGAATGAAAGGTAATCTTGGATCAAGAGCCCTTCGCCAGCATCAAGCCACTCATTCGAGAAGGAATAGAAGAATACAGATTAATACTTACCCCAATGATGCCAAGAATAATGAAAGGCACCAGCTCAATGAAAATCCAGGGTTTGCTGTACTCCACATAAAAGAGCACCAGGTGCTCATTACCAAAGGGGTTGATGGAACGCAGGACAAATGCTGCTACTAACGCAGCAAAGAATGACCGCCACAGTGTCTTCAGAGGGAAATAATATGAAGCCTGCAAAAGAACATACACATTAAAAATCAAGATGGACCTTAGTGTAATTAAAGAGCAAAAGGCACAATACTGTGGCTTGAACAATGCACAAACAACCCACACATAGGAGAAAGAACCCTACGACGATGTTTCGGCCCAACTTGGACCATTTACAAAGTCAGTGTGACTTTGTCATTGGTCCAAGGCGGACCAAAACATCGTCGCAAGCTTCTCTCTCCTACGTGCAAGTTATTTGTGTATTGGTGTAATTACCTAATCGTTATCTAATTTATACTAGACTATGCTGTACATCATATTAATCTGTATATCTGATATTCATTCAACATGCAACAAGTTCTGCAAATATTAATCCTTAAACTGCGTATGACGTATGCCATACGTCTGGGGACTAGGATGAATATGCTACCCTTATTTTTCCTGCCTTCATATGTGCTGATAACCTCAATTTCAAGTCTTGGGTCATTTGTTTATATTGTCAGGTACCTCATCAGGTCAGAGAGAAAATTGCTAGCTACTGGGTCAGCACAAGAGACCAAGGATACATTCACCTAGTGAAGCTATTCGTACAATGGCTGACTGAAAAGTGATGAGCCACGTGGCAGTGACCAACATAATTCTAATGCAAAGGAAACATGCCACATGTGGACTGACAGTAGCCCCTCACACTACAGAAACCCTGAAACCACAATGTCAGCACCACATGTGACAGATAAATGGTTCAGAGAACCAACAAGTTGATAAATTAAGACACAGGTACAACACTTGGGTATCTTTACTGAGGATCTTGATACAGGGAATTCTTCACTTGCCTAATCTGTAAGCATGACCTACTTCCACATGTGGATTTGTCCGATACGACATCACCTACGGCTGCTTCACCACACCTGTCTACAGTACATACACCACTTCCTCACACACATGCTGTATTCTTTTAAAGATTGATGGACTGATTATATCAACTCCATGGACTGATTACCTCAGACTCCTTCTGATCTTCACCATTCTTCTTGTATAGGACTGAAGAAGCCACTGCATGGCAAAATGTTTCCTCAATAAGGATACCCAAGCATTGCACACCTGTCTAATTTACCAACTGGATATATTTATTTGTTGGGAGCAAGGGACTAGTAACCCGTTCTCCTGTATACATTACTAAAGTTAAATCTAGAAACTTTTTTCTTTTTGGGCCACCCTGCTTTGGTGAGATATGGCCAGTTTGCTGAAAGAAGAAAGATCTTTATTTGTAGACATTTCCCCATTCAGTGGCTTTATCAATACTGCACAAGAACATAATGTGAGGCCCACATGGAGACACAGTAGAAAGACATTGTATATTTTGATCTCCATCTGAGATCATCTTCAAAAGTTGGAGTTCAAGGTATACAGTCTCTCTCTGCCTTGTGCTTCAGTCCTTTTTAATATTTTTATTATGCACCACATACCCATCCTGTGAGTGGTAGTCAAAAGATTACAGAGGACCATAATAGATCCAGGGACTGGACCCAAAAGTTTTGATAGCTGAACAAGTTATAAAGGTAATGAACTTTTACATGTGTATATCTGGTCATAATCATGACCAAGTTACAAAGGTAATGAACCATGTACATGTCTATACACAGCCACAATCATGAACAGTTTCCACGTGAGTTTTCTCAACTCATCAACATTACCACATTAGAAAAGAACAAACCTCTTCCAGACTGAAGAGAACACCTCCAATGGGTGCACCGAAGGCCACAGACACGCCCACAGCTGCTGCAGCTGAGAGAATTTCACGTTTTTTGGCTTCATTTTTCCCATATTTTGGGAAAAGGTACGAGAGTATGTTTCCTGGAAGAAGAAAAACATTTTAGCTGTTTAAAGACCTAGGATATATTTTATTTTATTAACACATCGGCCATTTCCCACCAAGGCAGGGTGACCTGAAAAAGAAGCATCACTTTCATCATCATTCACTCCATCACTGTCTTGCCAGAGGCATGCCAACACTATAGGATATATTTATGAAATTTTAAGATACAAGTGAAGAAATGCAACATTCATAAAACCTACAGTATTTAGCAAGAACAGATATTATTATTACTGGTCAAGGACCAGGCTGTGGGGGCAATGACCCCCAGAATAGCTTCCAGGCAAGTCTAAACACAAGGATCATAGAGTGACAAGGGAAAAATGAGTGTTGTAATGGTGTAATTAGATTTGAGCCAAGGTAAACAAGGATATTCCAATTCCTTGGATTAACCCTTTGACCGTTTCAGCAGTAGTATATATACAGTGGACCCCCGCATAACGATTACCTCCGAATGCGACCAATTATGTAAGTGTATTTATGTAAGTGCGTTTGTACGTGTATGTTTGGGGGTCTGAAATGGACTAATCTACTTCACAATATTCCTTATGGGAACAAATTCGGTCAGTACTGGCACCTGAACATACTTCTGGAGTGAAAAAATATCGTTAACCGGGGGTCCACTGTATGTCTTACGAGCCAGAGTTTTGGATGTATATTTTTTTTTTCAACAAGTCGGCCGTCTCCCACCGAGGCAGGGTGGCCCAAAAAAGAAAGAAAATCCCCAAGAAGAAAATACTTTCACCATTCAAGAGCATATAGTGTAACCAATGCATAACAGTGAAAACCTGTGAATACAATCTACTTAAGGTATCAAAATCAGTTGGTCTGAAAGAAAAAAAAAAACTGGTCTAAATATACAAATGCTTAAAAAATAAATTACAGTTATGATAAAAAAGATATATCTGTTAATTAAGAAGCAGTTCAGGTAAGAATGGTCAGGAAACAGGACAAGTGTTTTCTGATGCAGGTCTAAGTCATATGATGATCCGCCACTAGAGATTTGGTCATCTAACCGAGGCCTTCTTCTGGCTTACATGTCCACCTCTTTAAAAATAATGGTTATAATTATAACCACTTCATATACACCTACCATCCGATTTACGACCTGCTCGACTTACGACCACTCAACTTATGATCGTGTTTTTTATGCCAAATTTCTGGGAAATAAACAACTATTTGTGTTGTACACAGTGTTTATCCTAAACCTTACAGTATAAAATACAGTACTAACAACATAAAAAGTAAAGTAAAACATGAAATACCAAAATAAAACAAAATAAAGTCATCACAAAAATGTTTTGTTGATATTCAGTAGTAAAGTTCGACTTACGACCATTTCGACTTGCGACCGGTTTCTCGGAACCGAACTCGGTCGTAAGTCGGATGGTAGGTGTACATGTATATATAATTATAACTATTTCAAATACAGTGGTACCTTGACTTAAAAGTTTAATTCGTTCCATGACCGAGCTCGTAACTCAATTTGCTCGTACGTGTACATCAAATCAGTTTTCCTCGTTGAAATTAATAGAAATGCCATCAATCCTTTCCAGCCCCCAAAAAGCCACTCAAGGCCAAATTTTGCCAAAAAAAACTCGCCGAAGGTCAAATTTCATGAAAGTCAGGGCTGCCGAAACTCGAGGGTCCACTGTATATTGTTTATGTCATATTAGATGTAGTGAGATAGATAAATAAGCCGTAGAGTTGATATTAACAAAATTATTGAAGTACAGAATTCCACTGGAAAGGATTAATTGCATTTCAATTAATTTAAATGAGAAAAATTGACTCTGCAAACGAGCAAATCCAGTTGCGAGCAAGGTCATGGAATGGATTAAACTCATAGGTAGAGGTTCCACTGTATACAGTAGGGCCCCGCTTTTCGGCATTTCACCTTACGGCGTTCCGCTAATACGGCGATCTCAAATTATAACCAAAATTTCTATACAGCAAGCAGTCTTTCAAATACGGTGCGCACCACCTAGTTTGTTTACATTCTCCATGAGCACATCTCTATTATGTGATAATAATCACTCTTCAGCACATTCAGGGTTCAAAGGCAAAATCTGAAGGGGTGCCCCTGTGTCCAAGAAATTTTGAAAAAAAAAAAAAATCTTACAGAATTAAAGAGTATATTTTCGTGAAGGTAATAAAAAAAAAAATTCTGATCAGTACTTACCGAGATACAGAGGCGAGAAGTTGACCCAAAATGACCGGGTGGTGGCAACATCAGCGATTTCCACAAAATTGCATTTCTTTATTTCATGTTTTTTATACTTTTTTCTTGCCTTTTCTAATTTTTTTCTTTTTCTAGTAATATTTGTGGCCTGTGAGGCCAATACTGTATATAATGTATATATATATATATACACTCACTCATAGTAGGTTGGTAGACAGCAACCGCCCAGGGAGGTACTACCGTCCTGCCAAGCGAGTGTAAAACAAAAGCCTGTAACTGTTTCACATGATGGTAGGATTGCTGGTGTCTTTTTTTCTGTTTTACAAACATGCAAGATTTCAGGTACGTCTTGCTACTTCTACGTACGCTTAGGTCACACTACACATACGTGTACAAGCATATATATACATACCCCTCTGGGTTTTCTTCTATTTTCTTTCTAGTTCTTGTTCTTGTCTATTTCCTCTTATCTCCATGGGGAAGTGGAACAGAATTCTTCCTCCGTAAGCCATGCATGTTGTAAGAGGCGACTAAAATGCCGGGAGCAAGGGGCTAGTAACCCCTTCTCCTGTATACATTACTAAATTTAAAAGGCAAAACTTTCATTTTTCCTTTTGGGCCACCCCACCTCAGTGGGATACGGCTGGTGTGTTGAAAGAAAGAAAGATATACGCTCACTGTATTGAACACAAAAACCGCACTAAAATTATTAATAATAATATTGTTTACCACTTTTGTTTACAATAAACATGCACAAATGTTGCGTAATAATACTAATGTTCTAATATATATTTACATATGTACAGTCACTGGACATGTTTTTAGAACTGCTGCAGCTTGTGGAAGTCCTTGAAACAAGGTATCATGCACAGAGGTACCTTACATTCCTCGCACATAAACCGAGTGTCTTTGCATCTTTGTTGCCGTCGTTTTGTTTGTGCACAGACAACACATCTCTTCTGAGCAAATTTCTTCTTAGTTGCAGGAAGCTGTATTATGAAGTGATCACCTTCCCTCCTCAAACACTTGGGTATATCCTGAAGAGTTCGAGGACGGTTTTGTATAGCAGGTGTTGTTACTTGGTACTGCATTATGAGTTGTCTGAGAACAGACAAACAAAATTCACCATATGGTGGTCTGTTACCAGTCTTCATTTGGTACATATTATATGCAATGAGCATTGAAATGTCCATGAGATGGAAGAAAAGTTTCATGTACCACTTGTAACTCTTACGAACACAATCAACAAAGCCAATCTGCATGTCACATTTGTCAACCAAGCACATGTTTTGTGTATAATCAATCACTGTCACTGGTTTTCGAATACGTTCATTAGTCACTATCAACTTTGCCACTGTCTTGCATTTCGTTAGGGTGAATAGTTGTCAATAATTTGACATCTTGTTTGTCATGCCACCATAATGTCATAATGTCATTGGCAGTGAACACCTGCACCTCACCACTACGAGTGCCTGCGTTGAACCTGGCATATGTTTACGATTAGAACGCACTGTGCCACACACATCTGTTATGCTCACTCACAAGAAATCACCGAGTAAAGGGCTTGTATACCAGTTATCAGTATATAATGTAAGCCCATTTCCAAGATAAGGTGCCATCATGCTTCTCCTACATCACCTGAGATACCCAATAACATCCTGGTATCTTTCGATGTTTTACTTATCCAAAACCAGGCCACTGTCACAGTCACAGAGTACAAATAGTTTTATACCAAAGCATTTCCTCTTGCTCGGTATATACTGCTTGAATGACAGCCTACCTTTGAACAAAACCAAAGACTCGTTAATTACAAGATTCTTGAATGGATAAAAGTACATGCTGAACTTTTGTTTCAGATACATAAAAACATTTCTGATCTTGTATAACTTGTCACTTCTGTCAGGCCTTGTTTTGTCAGAGAAGTGCAACATACGTAACAGTAAGATAAACCTGTTCACTGGGATGATTTCACTGAAGGCCATGGTACAAATTAGCCGATTTGTGGACCAGCATTTTATATTATGCTTATAGACATGAGGCATAAGCATTATTGTTGCAAAAAGCAAATACATTTCAACAACAGTTGTCTCTTTCCACCGGTGTAGTCTTGACTGTGGTGATATGATCGTATTTACTAGGATGTATTCAAAATACTTGTTACTTTCCCTGACACTAGTTTCTATCAAGGGCTGGTCAAAGAATAGTTTGAAGAATTCCAGTTCATTTGCAGTGTTTCCAAGGGGACAAGTTGGTAGAATTCCACTTTGAGAGTCATCAAACTGGTGGAGCTTGGGAACAGAATTGGGATTTTGCTTCCAATCCCAGATACGGTTTGCTGGTGGATACTGGATATCATAAGCTGGTTGTGGTGGGGTGGTGGCTGATGCTCCGCTTTGTCCTTGAGCTGAGGAGTCAGCGACGTGGAACCCAGCCTGGGTTGGTGAGTCATGCATGGCCGTGGCACTACCATCACCACTACTACCACCTACTGATGCTTGTGGTCTATCCATGCCAAGTGTAGCCACATCATCCTCACGCTTCACTGGTGAATATGATTCCTCACACTCCACGTCACTACCATCATCATTACTTAAGTCTGAGGACTGGCCACGCGAAAATATTAGTTTTCTCTTGCGACGAGGTACAACTGAAAGTGACTGAGATGTGCCCACACCAGAGATAGAAGGCTGAGGATCGTCAGGATTTTCTGCACTATTTTTGATATCCTGGTCATTCCTTTCGGTCACTAATTGATCAAAGCCATAGAATTTGTCTTCATTTCCACTTCCATCAGAGTCA